AGTCTTCACACGTTGGCAGAAATGGAGCCATCCACATTTGGGAAGTCCATCTATGGGCAGCAAAGGTCTCCAGAGATACTACTTTGCTGCAGCTCTTGGATGGAACAGGATGTGAGCACAGCCAAAGCAGGCAGTGGGCCAAAGCAGGCAGTGGGCCTGTGATGCTTTCTGCTGGGTGCACAGCAAGACGACAGACTCATGGCCACTTGGGGAGCAGAGCACTGTGGAAGGACTAGCAGCCAGTCCGAGCAGCATGGGGCCCATGGCCCCATGGTATAAGCAGTGACCAGTTCCAGGGTTGCTGGTGGCTTACCACAGAGATCTATCCCTCAGGATGGCACAGTGGCACAGGATTGTGACACAGATGGAATAGAATTGCTCAGAGAACATGTATTTTCTCTGGAGGAGCCGTTGCAAAGAGACATTTAGCAAATGGCAATTGAAGACCAGATCCCAAACAAACTCAGATAAATAAAATAGAAGTAGTTATAAGTACATGTTCCTGCTGTGTGAAATAAAAACATCAAGCCTCCAGTCTTCAAATAAATACAACCACCTGTATAGGCTTAGTTCTTGAATTTACCAAAAGGTTGATGTAGTACCTTATCATCCCAACTACAAATACTTGCATTCAGGGAAAACGTAAGTGGCTCTCATTTTGAAAGTCCTCTGGCACTGCCAAGCATTATCTTTTTTTTTATATTGTATCAAACTCTTATATTATGTCCTAAAAATGTGTCCGAGATCTAGATGTTCTTCATTTATGCCAGCATTTCACTCAAGAATAAAATAAACGGTGGAGGGAGGGCACACAGGGAGGGAAAGTTTGTGGTCTACTTTTGCTAATGATACATAGTTTTGTAATTATTAAAAGCATCACAGACCTTAGACAGCTGCTGACATACAGAAAATAATGTCCTTGAAACTGTTTGTTTCATCATATTTTAAGAATTAATACCTTAGGTCATGTTAATCAGTTTCTGATATATGTAGTTTTCAAAATGCACTTCAGGGAAGAAAATGCTGGAAATGACTAATAAAGATATGAACTTTATTCATTGTATGTCTAACTCCAAATGTGAACATTACCAAGGTACTTTGCCATCTGAAGTTTTTAGGAAGCCTTAAATAAAAAATAAATCCACTTCATTCAGTGAAATAGAACATCCTCTTTTTCTAAGCAAAAGAGTTCAAATTTATTAATTTTGTAGCCATATTTTAAAATGAGTGTCAGCCCCTGCTAGATGACTACATGATAAGTGTCCTGAAACTTCAGGAAAAGGCACTAAATTTTTCACAGCATTTGTGTTTCATTTTCAGTGTAATAAAAATATGGTGCCCTTTTAATAATGAATAATAGATTTCCTGGTATGATTTACATGAGTGGATTAAATGTCATGTTTGAAAAGTTGCTGTTTTATTCATATTGAATTTCCCTCAAGTAAAACAAAATGGTACCCAGCTACTGTTATAATATTGCTAGTACCTCACCACACTGATACATAAATATTAACCAGTTGATATACTCTTTAAAAATCTTCAGTTCTGTGAATTGTTCTGTCAGCAATGATGTCTTTTCATGCATATGAACAGATTTAGTACTATCCCAAGTTCAAGGTACATTGGGGAAAATGTGTAGCACCAGTGCTCGCATACTTCCGGAGCTCACACCTTTTTTGCTAAAGTGCCAGTTTTGAAAGGCTCTCACAGAATAAGGACTAATGCCAAATGGGTGCAACTGGACCAGGATTAAAAAGCAGTTTGAGTTAGCCCAACACTGACAAAATTGTCCCTATTTCTGCTCAGCAGTGCTGGACTGACTTCCAAGGTGACTGGACAGCATAATGAATACTTTTTAAATGTCACTTGCAGGTAACCTCATTGGCTTGTAGTGCTCTTCGCAACAGTTGAAAATTTCCTATCTGAACTTCCCATTCTGAACAAAAACTCACTTTCTAACAGGCAATATTTTTTCTTGAAAAGTGCTTCAGAAATGTTTATAATTTGTTGCAAAGAAAGAGGAAATAAGAAAATCTTCCTTAAAGGTTCCTTCCCTGTAGGCAAAGTTGGCAATGTACAACAAAATATTTTGGTCCTGATAATTGAAATTATTGCTGAAAACAATTTTTTTTAAAGAAGAGAAGCTTTTTTGCTCCAACTTTTGTTTCATTGAAGCCAATGAATATTTTGACTCTGAAAAGTGAGGGTTTGTTCTTAATGTTGTAACTGTTTCATAGAACAATTTTAATGTCTACTGAACTAACCTAAGAAAAGATGGCAAAATAAAACCCCAAACACTTCCTTTTTCTGTGTAAAATTATACTTTTGCATACTGGAACTCATTTGTGCTCTTCAAGTCATCATTAAGCTGAAAAATGTAATCTGGACTTGCTAACACTTGAACATAATCCTATGGAGTAAAACAGTGTTTTAAATACACTGTGAAAAAAAATGTTTACTATTTAGGTCTTATCTATAACAGGATCTTAGCCACCATGAAACAGCAATAAGGAAGTTATACTAGTAAAATCCTTGTTCTAGGTAAAGATGATGCAGTCACACAGACTTTACCTATCAAAGCCTAAAGTCCACTTGCATAAACTACATATATGAAAATATCCTATAAATTATGAGTCTAAAACAGTCCCATTCAGATTATGCCATTTGTTACTATTTCTAAAATGGTAAACAGTCATTTGAAACAGCAATTGTGTTTTATCACAATCCAAAGTATTCATACAGGTTTCATTCAGCATAATTTAAGAAAAAAAATTATTTGTTTGGCTGTCTGGCCTTACTGAAGACAAATAAAATTCAACTGCAGCTGTTAGGAGCCACTGTCTAGTAAGTAGTCAGAGGTTATTGGGGAGGTAGGTTGACAAACTAAAAGGGAGGACAATGAAGGAGCGGAAAGAAGGGAAACTGGCAAGCTGGAGCAAAGAACATTGATTAATGAACAGAAAACATTTTTGAAAGGTCGGGTGTGCAAGTCAGACTAGCCCTGAGGCAGATCTAACTTACATGACCAGCACTTTCTGTACGCAGCAGGTAACCCACGCTGACACCAACTTTGCTGACATGACAGGGTTATTATTTTTGGAAGGATGTAGTGTTCTGGAACAATTTCTCTAATATATTACTTAAAATTAAGCTTTCCTTCAATATCAAGCATGCATGTCTTCATTTTCACCATGTTTACACTGAACTCCTATCATTATTCTGGCCAATGAAAACAGAAGCATATTCTGCATTTGTGAACACTTCTATTTCCCACCCCATAATATATCCCAGGGCAGTAGTGTTGTATATTAGATTCAAACCCAGATGCTCATGTGAAGCTCACATTAAGACGTCACTACTTACCCCAAGTTAACATCTGGTAGATGTTAACCATGTGAAGCCTAAAATTTGCCTCATCTCAGTACAGACCCCAAGGGTTTCTTCTGAAACATATCTAAGGTTGTGCACCAATACCAAGGTGGAAGAACAGAAGGGTAGAGTCATTCAGGGTACAATACATCCTATGTCTTCAAAATGAGCTGGTGTAGAAGGTTCTCTAAAGTTATGACATTAAGCTTTTGCTGTCCATTATAGAGTAATGAAGACAGGGAATTATCAGAAGGTCATTTAATTCAACTTCCCCTGGTCCTGTATTTTAAGTGAACTTACCCGAGACCTGCATGCTGGTTCACTAGACTAAAAATGAAGTTTGGTGAAGATGCTAATCAAATGTCCCCTGTGAGACCCAAGAGAACTTTAAAGCAAACTTGCAAATGCAAAAAGCAACAAAGACCTAGGAGAAACATGATGCTGAAAGTAAGCAGATCATGCTGGAGTCATTCAGTCATACTGTCCAGTCTTCTCCTTTCAAGGCAATACTTCATCTCCAAGGAAAGTAACCAGGATGCACGCATCCTGCCTAGGAAGGAATCACAGCTCAGTGATTTCTCTGACAGATGCATGTATTTGTTTTAACATCATGTGAAAGTCACATTCACAGTTTCCCCCTCATATATGTGATTCCTTTCACACCAATAGTTGTATTACAGACACTGTTCATTATCTATTACAGGTGATAAACAATTAAAAAGCAGAAAATGTGACTTTATAAGTCACAAACCCAACATCTGAAATTACCTATCCACAAGTAACTGAAAGCATCAGTGGCATACATAAAGGTTTGCTATCCCAAAGCTCTTTGGGATAAGGACTGCCTGTCTGTTCTGTATACACGCAACACTTTGGACAACAGAAGGTTTGGAGGAGGAAAACTGCCATTCAGGTCATACCACAAAATAAATGATTGAAACCAGAAAAAACTAGTCATTCTACCAATGCCTCATAACACACACAAAAAAACCCCACTGCACTGAGAGAGATGAAGATTGTTTTTCAAACCGTAAAGAAGCTTTCATGTGCCAGAGAGTTTATCTGAGACCAATGTTTCAACCAGCACTAGGCATTAGCTACACCAGTGAGCAACTGACACACAACAATCCTGCCATGCACAGCATGCTTAGGCAGGAAAATATGTGTGCCTCAGTCACAAAAGACAGAATAGAGCCTCAAGTGTTTGGGCTCCTTCCAAAATAATCCAAATGCTGTTTTTTTGGCAAATGGGGGTCAATGGAGCTAAAAACTCACAAAAGGATTTGGGCATTCATGTGTTTATATACACCCACTCGTTCATTTATTATTCTAAAGCTACTTTACAGAAATCAAATTACATAGCTGACAAGCTGCATAGATAAGAGAGAATAAAAGTAAAATTCAAAATTAGCTGACAACACTATATGATGTAGCGTATATTTGGCACTTTTAGAGTGAGTGATGAGGGTTAACCCAGGGGAAAAAAATTGCACCTTCCTAAATCGCACCTTAAACTATTAAATAAATTATTAACATGATGGAATGCATTAAATATATAAGCCTAAAGGAGAAAGAGCGGATGTGTTTTAACTTTCAAAGCAAAGACTGCATATTTATGAAGTGTTGCTTACTGTCTGGATACTTTGTCCAAAATAGATTTCAGTGTTGTAGAAGTTTCCACCATGAGTAACAGGCTGCGTTGTCCTGGCCTGAGGCTGCTCCTTCAGTTCAGGTCTCTCCAGCAAGCCACCACCTAAGCGGCTCAGAACAGAAACTTTGAGAGTGTAGTGGCCTTTAGGGACCTTATCTTTGACTCCCCTCAGGCATTTGAAGTGAATTTCTATTGACTGAGACTTCTTGGAGTAGTCAACCTAAGGAGAAGGCTCCGAGTTACTAACATGGGCTGAGCTGAGTTTAATCATACAATTAGCAAGAACAAATTTCTTCCAGAAAACAAACACTGAAAAACAGACAACACATTTCTTGTTCAACCTGCAATTACTTATTGCTAGCCAAGTATCTGCAATTAGGGAGGTCAAAAGTCATAGAGATGACAGATAAAAAAAGCAGTACAAATACTACTCATAAAATGTTGAGCATCCTTGGAGGAAAAGTAGAGCTGGTGAAGTATGACACCAGAAGATATTAGTCGGCAATAATAAGGCAGAATTAACTGGAAGACAATATCTTCAAAAATAGAGCATGCTTTGCAAGACAGGCACAATATTTGATGTGACAAGCAGGCCACAGGCTCAGACTGAAAGACAGGGCAGGCCATTTTTTTTATACTAGCTATTAGCCTTGCCAAAGCTATTAGTGCTGTGTAAGATGCAGACTACCCTTTTGCCTTCTGATTATCATATAATCAGATCCTCTTAAAAATAGTAATCAAAGTGCAACACATGTAGAGTTTAACAACAACTCCCTACAGGTACCTTTACTCCAAGTCCAAACAGAAGGAAATGTCTGCTGGTGGCTGTTGACAAGATCTTGTCTGAGTTACAGAATGTTTAGCATGAAATAAATGCTGTGTACCAGAAATGCTTTTCTGGTGCTTTCCTTGTGTACTCAGCTTCTCAGTGTGGGGGTTGGCTGTGGGGAACAGACACAACTGTACAATCCTTACACAACCTCGCCTGAGTAATGACGTAAGGTTTGTCCCACTACACCAGAAGATACTTCAGTGCTGCCCAAATGCAGGGTCAGGCACACATCAGGGAGTCTCAGTTAGGCTCCAGTGTTGACTTGAATGGATAAAATTGTTTCTACAGTAACTAATTATTTAGTGCTTAAAATCAGCAATGCTATTTCTCTTTTCCCCAAGAAATCAATTTCTTCTATTATTTGGAGAAAAGACTAGTGATAGGTGTCCTTTTTTTTCAATTGGATATAAGAACCCACACTTCAGAATCACATGGTTACCTTGACTATTAGGTTTAGTGGTCTCACAGTTTAAGCTTACAGTAGCTAATAATCTCTTCTTTAATCCTGTCCTGGATTTATTTTGGAAGAGATAGCATATTTCCATATAGATAGAAAGCTTCTGGAATTAAATTAAGCAGTTAAATAAACAGCTGAATTTGTTAAACTTCTTTTGTTTCTCAACACAAACCATACTTAACAACTAATCTGAATGACAATAATTTTCAGCTTAATTAGAAAATCTTAATTAACAATGAAGATTTAACCTTAATATTTTTGGTTTCTGAATCATATATAAAAAAATTAACATTATGTGAATAAATAAGACAATCTTTTTAAACCTCAAGGCAGGATTACTGATGCAGGCAGCCTTCGTTATTAAACACATTCTAAATTAAACGCCTCTATGAATTTTATACTGAAATATATTGTGATAGTTTTGCATGCCAAATGTGACATTTTGTATTTTAGATTCATCTTCTGTAGTAATTTTGGAAATGTCATACAAACAAAGATTTTGTCATTTACCGATGGAATTACTATGCATGGCCGGTTAGCCATCTCTTTTCTGGCTCTTCTGGTTGTTTCAAGTCAGCAAGCCATAAAAAATCTTTATCTCTCTGAAACACAGCAATTTGGAAGATAATCGAATAGTGACTAGGGGGCAGAAACGCCAGTCTGAGGAATTATACCACAATCTCTCTTGCATTTACAACCTTCCTCAAAGCGAGTGTCAGTCGAGTAGGAAAAGGAGATAGAAGATTCATCATATTTCAAGCCTGTCTCATTTGCATGGTGACATAGCTGTCTCATCTCCTGCTGAAAGACTTTGCTTGGCCAGCGCTGACAAACTGTTTTGAAGAACTCTTGCCATGCCCAAATGATTCATCATTAATAGCTTTAGACATTCTCTTTAAGCATATGGTTACTTTTGCTGGAAAGCATATTTTGAAACCTGCTAAATTCTATCCTCTTAAACTATGAAAAGAGAAATTAAAAAAAAAGAAAAGAAAAAAAGCAGTACAATTGATCCAGTCATTTAGCAGCTCACATCAGGGAAAAGAGCACTCATGGAGAACCTCACCTTCTTGCAAGGCCCTGCTGCTGCTCCATTTAATCCAGTATTCACATTTGCAAGGTTACCAAAGCTGGCTACCATTTCTTCTTCCCTTCCATTCTCTTCTGTTTTCAGTGGCTGACTTCCCAATCTGCAGAAGTCAGAATGAGAAGAAGAACAGAAAAGAAATGAACTACAATGCATACACAGAAAGCACCTGCTGTTGGAAATACATCAGTTTGATGTTTTCCTTGAACATATCCTAAGACTTGCAGGGCACTAGGAGAAACAACAGTTTGCTAAAGCAGAGAAATGGCCAGGCTTCAAAAAGCAGCATAAAAAAATAACAAGACCAATATTTGTCAGTCTGTGCCGCAGGTTGACATAAGGAACCTGAAGTTTCAATGCCTGTCTATAGTCAGCTCTGTCTGGCATTGGGGCTCAGGATCTGGGTTGAGAGTATTAAAGTAGGAAGCCATTGCCTCTGTCGACACTTTGAGGACTGATTGACAGCTTCAATAAACTTGGACAGGTTTTTGGAAGCCATTGAGTCCTTGGGGACTTGATTGCTTTAAACCACAGAAAAAAAAATTAATTATATATATAAAATCTTACTTTTTTTGTTTGTTTTTCCTACCCAAAAAACCTCTTATAAATTTATATCTATATCTTATATCATTTAGAAATCTTCAAAAATATCTTATTTCATAGATAGAAAAATTAAATATATAAATTATATGTCATATATATACACTTACATGCACATACACAAATTTTCAACCGTATGTGAACCACTAAACCTTCCTTGTCATTCATATGTTAACTTCTTGTGCATTTAAAGTGATTTGGAGGGTAATTATATCAACTCAAAGTTGTTGGGTTTTTTTGGGTTTTTTTCAAGAGAGGTCAGTGTAGCAACACAGAATGCCAGCAAATACAGCAAGAATAGCCCTACACTTCCAAAGCTGCCCTGCTTAGTGCACAGGATACACAAAAGGCACAGTACCCTATGGAGAAAATCTTGTTCCCAGAACACAGCAGGAGCAAATGCAAAACTGAGACATTTACAAAAAGCACTATAAAACTGTATGGTTTGGCAATCCCATCCCATCCATCAACAGACACAGAACTATGAGTCTCTATGGCATCAGTATCTTAATATTATTGACCCTAAGTAAAAACATCTGTAGATGTTCTGCTGGCTTCAAAACACATCAGCTTTTGCTTCCACAATATGCTTTAAGAGGCCAGAGAGGGTCAGTTGGTCACACCAGTGCTGGCGATGCTCCAGCCACACTTGCAGGTGGATGTGGGGCAGGCACAGAGAAGGACATGGTGGCTCTCAGAAGCTGGAGGCTGAGCAGGAGCTTGGTCATATGGAGCCAAGGAGAAATCACTGCATCAGGTAAGGTTGCAATGCAGGATTAACTTTTGTATATACAACACAGGCATCAGAAAATAGGATCTCTTAGGTTGCCAAGCAATGTACTAAGTTTTTAGCCACAAAAGAAAATGCTATAACTTGGTGTTCATTAGAAAAAAAAAAAAAAAAAAGAAGAATGGAAGAATCAAGACGCAAAAACATTTTCCTGGACTGCACTTCTGAAGCATTCCTGCAGCACTCCTTCAGTATTTTCTGACTTGCTTTTGAAAAATTTGACACCAGTGTCTTCATTCCCATTTTCTTTCTTTGCATGCTAGGTGATGATCTGAGAGGCCTCCACATTTGTAAAAATTAACATTGTTCTTCATCAAGAAAATTACAGAGACTGTGCAATCATGATAAACATCCCAGAGTCATGCACATGTGCTAGTTAGGTAACACATTCTCCTCTTCTGAAACAGATGCTTCTGTCTCCAAGATCCTGGCACATTGCTACAAATTCGTTTCTGTTCTACTCAGACCTTATCTATTTCTTTTGCCTTTTTTTTGTTTTTTTGAAAATGCACACATTTACATCAGTAAAATTACCACTGGTTCATAGCAAAACTGCTTTTCAGATTTCTCTACCAGTAGAATTTTATCACATAAATGCCCAAGTAACAACTGAATCGGTCAGAAGGTCAGTGTAGATGCCAGTGGCAATGAAGTATATGGAAATTTTGCCCAAGCCAGGACCGATGAGAAATAAGGACAAGATTCCAGTGCTAAGGACTGAATACAAGAAGCACAGGGTCAACCACCTTTGAACTTTTGTTCTCGAGCTTCCATTAAGTCAATCTGGGTCTAGCTGTCCTAAACAGAAGTAATAGAAGGTGAATGAATGGCACTAGCTAATTCATAGACCTGAAACATTTGAGATGTTAAAGCATTCTTCTTGAGGAGAGAAGTTGTTTGGAACTTTGTACTTACTTAGTTCCTCATGATGGAAATAATTTCACTTAATTTGGTTAGAGTTGCATTGACACAGGGGTTCATTAGGACACCCATTTGCTTGCAATTCAATTTAAAATTAAATACACTTTGTTGTTGATTTTATTACTTTTAAACTACTGTATCTATTGCCTTTATTAGCTGCTAATATACAATTATGAAGGTAAACAGTTTTCATTACTGAACATCAAACATTTAAATAACCGCATTTGATCTCTTTTTAAAGTTGCACCATTTTTCTCCTTTCCTTTCTTTTGCTGGGTATTAGATTGAAGAGAATAATTTATTCAGTGAAGTTAGACCCCTTTTGTGCTCATCAACTGTCACAGCAGAACATAGCTTCCTTTGCTCTATTCATGAGGGTTATTTATTTCCTCCATTCATTTCTTTACAGGTAATTTGATGCATGTATTTATCTGAAGGTCATTTATAGCTTGATCACAAAAACTTTGCTCCAATTCCTATTTCCTTCACTCTCTGAAGGGTAATTCAGTGGCAAAGATGAAAAATGCTGGGAGAAGACCTTTTGAAGTGCACTGTACGTAGCACTTAAAAATTACAGCCCAAGCTGAGTATCCAAAAATGGAGGTAATCCAAAACAGAGACCTCTTTCAAATGCACAGGCTTAATTTTTCTACGCCTCAGGTCTTTTGTTTGGGAGAAGTTCTATTCATTAATATCTGTGAAGCACTGAAAGATCTTTAGAAGGAAAGCACGTTAGATGGAAGTACAAAGTGGCTCTTATCTGACGTACCTTTGAAGGAGTTCATGAATCCTGGCTCTCCACTTCTGTTTCTTGTGGTGAGAAGCTTCCTTGTGGTGCTTTGAGTCCCACATGTCAAGAAGAAAAATTAAAAAAAAACCAAACCACAGAGTTTGTTTCCAAATGTACAGAAAGAACATGGAAATAAAAGCCATAAATGTGAAATTTTCCAAAGCTTTGTCTCAGGTCTTCTGGTTGAAGGTTTTCAGAAGCAATGAGGAATTCTAGCCACCGTAATTTTATTTCATTTTTTTTCATAACTTTTTTTCCATATTTACTGCATTATTTCCAAGAGATACTGAGCTCTCACCTTATTTTAAAAACTTTTCTCATACAATGTATATTTGTACATGGTGGTGTTCTACAGTCCTTATTTTTACAACACCTAACCACATAGTCATACATAAGCATACATATGTTTATGCACGTGCAAGTGTGTCTGTACTGACGCACCAAAATACAACACACAAAGCAGGTTTAGGCATAGACCAGAGAGCCCTCAACTTGCCTTGTTTTAAATTCACTCAAAATCTTGATGCCTTGTCTCACCAGGTTTGTTTTGAAATGCTTGGTAAGAGGGACTGACATTTTTGGAGGTTGCAATCTGTAGGAGGCTAACTCACATATGCGGTCCACTGCCTCAACAGTTCTGAGCTCTCTAGCTTGAAGCTGAAGGGCCTGAAATTATTTTACTCTTGCACATCAAGCTCAAAAAGTCATTCCATCGAGAAGCTGGCATCCACACCTATTAAACTGTGTTCTCTGTGAAAAAACTCAAAACAATAACCATACTGAGGGCTGCCCACTCATGAAAACAAAATTCTTCTCCTTGATCTGCACAGTACAGAGATCTTGCTGAATATTCAAGAACATTTCTCATGTCTGGATCTTCTGCTGGTGTCCCTGAGACTGACACAAAACATAGATACAAACTACCAATACATAAGAAGGCTTCCTATTTTATACCCCATACAGTCATTTAAACAGTGTAAAATGATGTTCCACTTCTACTCTCACTATGCCTCAAAGGTAAAAAATCGTTTTGGTAGGGAGACAATGTAATAGTCAATGGAGAAGAATTCCCCATCAGAGACTCCATATCTGGCTGTTAAAATCTCTCCTTTCTTCCAAATGTCTAAATTTTTTGACAAATTTGTGGCAGTTTTATGGAAACTTGGGAATCTCTGCTCAAGACTAAGGCAAAGCATCCCACTTATTTCCAAAATTAAAATTGTCAGAAAGACAGACAAAAACAACAAAAGCTTGTGCATGTAACTTTTAATGTAACCCTTTTAATTTACTCCTGTAAAATTAAAGCAGAAACATCATGGTTGCCTTAGACAACAGTTGGATTTGTTGGTAGTCCCAGCAGAGATCCTCAGAGATGGATGCAATCCTCCAGGTCAGGCATCACACATACACGATTAAAAATGTGATGCAACCAAACTAGCTCAAAGCAAGACCTTCCACCTCTCCACACGGCAGTTGTGTCATGGACAATGTTTCCTTCACCACTGCTCCTCTGCTAGTGGGAACCAAGCCCTCCTGCTCCTGAACAACATTTGGTTGAAATTCACTAGAAGTCTCTGGAGCAGGGAGCTGGACCCATTCTTCTCCCATCCCTGCACATGCTGGCACCGATTTTCTTTCCCCAGCCCGGTAAATCACCTTCTACGCCACTTTCTCAGGAAGGACTGGGAATTGGCTCTACTCTGGAGCTCCGCTCCAGCAGAGCTGGTAGCTGCCTGGTTAGAGCCATCTAACCTGGTTAGAGCCATCTAAGCCACCTCATGACTTCCCACAGTCCAGTGGGGGCTGCAGTCACCAGGAAACATGTCAAGAGCAAGGGCAGATTATTCCTATGCTCTCTCAGGTGTAGGGAACTCATCCTGGTGGCAGCAAAGACCAAGCAGCCAAGGCCACACTTTCATCACCCCTGCGAGATGTAGCCACCAGGCTGCCATGGTTGGAACATTTGGTCTGACACCCAGCAATAGAGCTCAAAATCTCTGAGAAGGTTTAATGACAAAAACTACTGATGGAGATTTCATGTGTTTCCAGAGTTTGCTGGTAGATGGAAAGGGATTTCAAGTTTTGGGTTGAGGCAGTTAAAGCTAAATTTCAGAGTGGGAGAAGGGCTTGGTTCACATTTTTTCTCCTGGATGCAACTCTTGGTGATGCCTGTGAAAGCAACTTTTGAGGTGGCCACTTAGATTAAGAAATAAGATGAAACAGAAAATTTACTTCATGTAAAATATCAAGTAGCCATAATATTGCAACAACATTCAGACATTACCAGTCCAGGCTTACACTGAGACAGTAGTAGAGAAGTTTTTTTTAAAGAAAAATTGATTTTATTACCAGACTCACACAGCTGTCCAATCCCCTTGTTTATCTTCCTAATCTTAATTAAATAATGAATATTCAAAAGAAAATATGAATCTGTATTAACTGAACTGTTTTCTGTCTCTGAAGTGGCAATGAGAGTATGATTTAAAACTATTTCTTCTGGATCCTAGTAAAATATTTGTCACAGTGTGTCATGATAATTTTTAAAAAGCTCTATCATCTATCTAATAAATTTTTTAAGTTTATTCAAATCTTATTGAACAGGAAAAGTGCAATGAGTCAGGGTTAATATTTCTTTACCTATACTAAGAAAAAAAAATTTATCAAAAATTCAGTGCTTAGGGTCCTATTCAGAAAACCTCTATGAGTCTGTAATACATCTTCTACATGATTAAAAAAACAGGAAACTTGCTTTTAAATGAATTATTCACCACCTTGAATAAATTTCCATCTTTCCTATTTGCAAAACCCCAAAGTCAGTTATGTAAATTTTAACCTACACTAATTACCTCAGGGGTGTGCAAGCTAAAGGAAAGTAGATGCAGTAGAAAAAAAAATCCCAGACATTTCCATCACCAGGAAGCAATTTAATAGAGGAAAAAAATGTGTAAGCTTTCTAAAACAGAGCAGCCCATATAATTTTATTTTTTTAAAAATGTGTAATAGTCATTGCTGCAATATCCCTTGAATCAGAGATTTACTGGAATAAACCAAGTGCTTTTTCTCAATGGCATATACCATCGCACACATGGCAAAGCGTTTGTTTCTCATCATGACACTGGTATTGTCTAGACTGTAACAACAACCCATTGTCGACAACAGGCGTTCCCAACAAGAAGGCATGAAATGTGGTTTAGCTTCAAGTCTGTATAGGCATTGAAGGCCCCTTCAGAAAATAATTGGCTAAAATCTGCGAACCACTGGATATCCTTCAGAGCTCATCCGGGAGGTACTGGAAAAAGCGAGGCGTTGTTTGAAGGCAGAAGGGCTTAATCACAGCATCAATTTGTCCTACTCTCCATCCTGATACCAGCCCCTGCTTTAGCTGTGAGCCAGCTCCTTCACACATCTCTCTCAGTTTCTTCATCTGCTGTCTTGAGGTCTAATTACACAAACGGCCTATCTACTGATTTCAAAGAGCGTGATCAAGACCAGTATTTGAAAAACGTCTTTCAGTGTGGGCTCAGCCTAGACACACAGTGGTGTGTATTGTTTCTACAGAGACAAGAACCTGACTCAATACCATTAATCAGTGCTGACTTACCGTTTTCAGTGTGAAACTACTTCACAAATGGCAGAACTAGGTTGTAGAGTACTTTTCTATTTGGAAAAAAATTAAATAAAACCCCACCCAAACACATCCTTTCCTTTTAAAAGAAAGTCCACAAAATTCACCAAAGCTTTGAAGCAAAATCTAATTGGTTCTCTATTGTTTAGCAAAAATGGAGCATTTAGGGAAAATATTTGCACACACACATGCACGCACCCCTTTCTTGTCAGTCCTAGCACTGGTATTACAACCTTCTGGTGAGGTACTTGCCCCACTGCAATTTGAAACAGCCAGTGGAGCACTGGCCCTGATGAAATCCCACTCCCTGCAAGGAGTGCTGCGGGCGTCCACCTTCCTACAAGTCGTCCTCACCAGGTCAGGGCACAGAAGAGACAGCACTGAAACACCACCAGTGGGATCTCCAGCAGCCTTCCACTGTCCAGAGGGATGTCATGTGCGGAGGATCCTGGTACTTCCCCTTCATTCCACTGCTTGAGGTACCACATTGGTACATCACAGTGCAGGTAGTGCTGTCTTTTTAGCAGTAAAAAGATGCCCAGATAAAAGCTTTTACCTAGAATTTTCATCTCTGCATCCTAGAATATTTTTCAGTGATGGAAATGCTGTCCAATCCACTTTTACAGATGGGATAACCAAGAGCTTACCAAGCAAAATGTCAGAAGAACTAGAAACAAAACCCATGTCTCTAGTCCCACTGGCGCCAGCTAGTTCTCCTCCTTCACAGTCTGGCTGCTGCATGGAGATTCACTCCTAGTGACTTCAATATCTAATGCACTGTATACCACAAAATAAATAAAAATGAAGAACCATTTGAGATGAGGAAAAAAAATATTGCAAGAAAAGTTAACATTCTTTTCAGATAAAGTGAAATTTTGAGAGACTTATCCTCTTCGTGTTAACTCTAGGGAGATCACGGGAAAAGGGAACATTGAGTGGTAAATGGAATGAGTGCCCTTCATTGAAAATAATGAGTCAATAGCTGCATAGACCTGCTCTGAAAATCACACTACCCATTTCCTGTTGGAATTTGTGTGACCTTGTCATGGAGATGGCCACAAACCCAAAGGTAAAGTTGTGCTAAAGCCTGAACTTATGGTAGTATTATTGATTTGCACTCTGCCAAAAAATGTGCCACAAACTTTCAGATATGTTCTTTAAAAAGAAAGAAAAAGCAACACAGCAACCCCCCATGACTTTTGTTCCAAGTAGAAAATTAATTTACTGTTCATAAGAACAAAATTAAAAACTTAGACAATCGAGCATTTCATAACAGAACTCAAACCCATTTTAAATTTGATACTGCAGAACACAAAGTGAGATTTACTTTAGTCATGCTACAGCCTTATTATACTGAGTAATACAGATAGATTTAGTGACAACATTATAGGCTAATCATTTTGATAAATTTGTAAAGCACTG